AGATGTTTATGTAGTATGGTGTTCTTTCTTAGGACTCGAGTAGGGGATAGGGATCGTCTTCAGAAGTGATTTGTCCCAACATTGATTTGCTCGCTGAATGTACACAACGCACACATGATGTCCGTAGATCTACGAGCATTCTGCGCATTTCCGTGTATTCGACGCACAGAGATATAGTGGGGCAAAGCAGTGATGTGCTCGATCCTCTACAGTCAACCCGCATAGTAAGGATGGGCAACGTTCCCAAGGGTACCCTTGCATCCTTGCCTCCTCGGTCCAGCCTTGGCCACTTTCGTTGGCCGCGCCCCGCTCGAAAAGCTTCGAAGTGGGCCTCCAAGGCCCTTGCAGCCTTATATATCGCGCATCCTTACTATACGGGTTGACTGTACGCGAAGGGTGGGGGGGGAGCCCTTCGGCGGCGGGCGGTCCTTCTCCCGCCGCTCCTGCTCCTGCTCCTGCCTCCGCTGGGATTTGCGGGGGCCGTCGGCGGCGGGGTCCCCTCGCGAGGCGGCGCTCCCCGCGCCCTTGGCGGGCGGAGGGCTCGCGCAGCGAGCAGCCAGCGGTGCCCCGGGGGCTGACCTCAGGTCGGGTCTGTCCCCCTACAGGAAAAATGTCCAAAATACAAAAATATTGTACGGGACCCCCCCCGGGACGATTTTTCGAGTATTTGTGACTGTGTTTCCATTTTTGTTTCTTTGACTATTGCGAAGGCCTTACGGCCGATGCCGCCGACCCTGTAGGCAGCGACGACGAAGACAATGGAGGTAGAGGAGTCCAAGATGCCCTCAGATGGCTCGAAGACGGCGCCAGATGCTTGCAAGGTCGTCCGAAGATAGCTCAAGAGGCCTCCTCCAGGGTTCGGGAACGGCTCCAGAGAGTGCCAAGATAGGCAAAGAGCGCCCTCAAGTGGCCCGAGAGGGTTCCAAGACGGCGTCAAGCGAGCAAAAGCGCCCGCAGAGGCTGTCAAGAGTGCCGCCAGAGGCTGCCAAGAGAGTCTAAAAATGGCGAAACATCTCCAAGGAGCCTTACGATAGGCTGAAAGAGCCCGCAGACGGCCCTGGAGGGCCAACGGAGCCCCAGGACGCAGGAGGAGGAGAGGCGGGGGGCTGCGTATCCGAGGGGGGACTCCCCCCAGGAGTGAGCCCCCCCCCCCCGCGGGGAAGAGATCAAGGGAAGGGGCTTCCCTTCGACTGAAGGACGCGAACGTTGTTCAATTTTTATGTGGACTTGTGTAGGGAGCCCTCGGAAAGCAGACGAGGCGACGACGCTGTGGGGAAGACGGAAAAACCTCTCCCACACGCCGACAGGGTCGGCGGATTTGTCATTCTCTTCCAAGATCCGCCTGTAGGAGGACATGGCCGGCACGAGGTCAATCTACAACTCCCTTCCCGTGCAGTCCTGTCCCTGCTCCTCTTTTTTCTTGGGCAAGCTGCAAGGCACCAACCATGCCCTGATCAGACAGGCGTGCTCCCCGTCTCCCCCCTCGCCTGGGCAGACGCCGACGGCGTAGGCCTCCGCACGCAGCATGCCAGCCAACTTGCGTAGCATGTCATTCCTTCTTGAGGCGGATGTCAACACAGCATTGGATCCTCGATTGTTGGCAGGACTGGTTTTGCTGCACCCCTCCTCCTCCTCCTCCTCCTGCAGCGTCGTACCCTCGGCGGCAGGTGGTCCTCTTTCTGCTTCTCCCCACTCGGTGACGAAGCCTGGGCTGGGCCCTCGCCGCCCACATACTGGGATCGGTAGGGGTTCCCTGCTGCGGGTTCACTTAGTTCGCGCCCTCTCGCAGTTTCCGAGCTCCCGCCGGTGCCCGGGCCCGATTCGGCCCAGCAGGTGTGCAGCTCACATTTCGCGGTCTATCCTCCCGCTCCTGCTCCCTGTGCCTCCTCCTCCTGCTTCCCCTGCCCCCTCTTGCGCCGAGGCAGAGGCAGGGACAAAAGCCTTAGCCAGGCGGAAAATGGCAGGCAGCGCCAGGAGAGAGAGAGAGAGAGAGAGGCAGAGGCAGAGCCAGAGGCAGAGGCAGAGCCAGGAGATAGTTATGACTGAGTGCACCCCGAGACGGAGGCGGGAAAGACGGCAGACAGCCAGGCATCTGGGCAGACCTGCAGAGGCAGAGGCAGGCGGGAGGAGCGCCACTGACATAGACAGACACAGCAGGTGGCAGCAACAGGGCCCTGGAGCAAAAGGGACTTGGTGAAGAGGAAAGGGCAGACACACACGGGCGCTCTCTTGTCGTGTCCTCCTCCTCCCCTCCTCTCAGACTCGACCCCCGGACGTCTCCTAGAGAGCATCCTGACCAGAGTTCATGGATGAGTCCATCCGTAGCGACGAGCATGCCCTAGAGGCCTCCGACGCCTTCTACAGTCTCAGCGAGTCTCAAGAGATCCTCCGAGAATCCACCGCCACTCCCTCACCCTGAAAACATAGTTGCCGCCGCCGCCGTTGCGGCCGCCGCCGTTGCCGCCGCCGCCGCCGCCGCCGCCGCCGCCGCCGCCGCCGCCGCCGCCGCCGTCGTCGTCGTCGTCGTCGTCGTCGTCGTCGTCGTCGTCGTCGTCGTCGTCGTCGTCGTCGTCGTCGTCGTTCTTGTCCTCGTCGTCGCTGTCGTCGCCTCCCTTCCAAATTCGTTTGACCAGAGTTTCGCGGTGAATTCTGCCGTGGCTAGGAGGGCGCCCCAGGACCCCCCCAAATGCGAACAACTTCCGATTCGTTGGCGTCGGCGTCGTGGGTCGTCGGTCGTGGATCGTCGGTCTGCGGTCGTCGGTCGTCGGTCGTCGTTTTCTTCGTCGTCGTCGTGGTAGCATTCGTCGTCCGCTGTCTGTCGTTGTTGTCGTTTTCGTTATCTCCGTCCGTCGTCCGCAGTCCGTCGTCCATCTTCCCTCGTCGTCTGTCGTCCGTCGTCGTCGTCGTCGTCGTCGTCGTCGTCGTCGTCGTCGTCGTCCTCGTCGTCGTCCTCGTCGTTGTCGTCGTCGTCGTCGTCGTCGTCGTCGTCGTCGTTGTCGTTGTCGTCGTCGTTTTCGCCATCGTCGTCATCGTCGTCGACGTCGTCGTCGTCACAGCCATCTCCCTCCAAACATCGAATTCTGCACCTTTGCAGGGTTGCGTTCCGACAAGGATTTCCGGTTGACCCTGGACGTATGACAACTTCAACGTCGTCGGCGTCGGCGACATCGGTCGTCGTCGCCTTCGTCGTCGTCGGCCTTTGTTTTTCAAGCTGATCCCACGACCCTTCTCCTAGTCTGTCCGTGCTAGTTGTTCGAGCCGCGCCCAGCCGTGGCGACGAGAATCTCCAGAAAACGCCCAAGAACTCTCGATTCGAAGTCGTCAGCCGTCGTCGTCATCGTCATCGTCGGCGTCTTCGTCGTCGTCGTCGTCGCCGTCGTCGTGGTCGTCGTCGGATTCGTCGTCCATCGTCGTCGGGTCATCGTAGCCGTCGTCGTCGTTGTCCTCGTGCATCGCTGGTCGTCGTCGTCGTTGTCCTTTGTCGTCATCGTCCGTTGTCGTCGTCGTCGTCGTCGTCGTCGTCGTCCGTCGTCGTCGTCGTCGTCGTCGTCGTCGTCGTCGTCGTCGTAGCCGTCGTCGTCGTCGTTGTTGTCGTCGTCCTTTGTCGTCATCGTCCGTCGTCGGCGTCGTCGTCGTCTTCGTCGTCGTCGTCGTCAACGTCGACGTCGTCGTCGTCGTCGTCGTCGTCGTCGTCGTCAACGACGTCGTCGCCGTCGTCGTCGTCGTCGTCGTCGCCGTCCACTGTCCTGAATTGTCGTCCGTCGTCGTCGAGCCGCTGCCGAGGTCGTCCCGATCGGTGGCGCGGACGCGCCGTGCGTGCGTGGCCCGTGGGTGCCCGTGCCGGGCAGGAGCCGCCGCTTCCCTCCGCTGACGCTGCCGTCCTCGCCGCCGCTTCCCTCCGCTGACGCTGCCGTCCTCGCCGCCGCCGTCACCCCCGTCCTCGTCGTCGTCGTCGTCGTTGTCGTTGTCTGCCTTCGGCCGTCGTCGTCGTCGTCGACGTCGTCGTCGTCTTCGTCGTTTCTTTTGTCGTCGTCGTCGTCGCCGTCGTCCTCGCTGGTCGTCGTCGTCGTCGTCGTCGTCGTCGTCCTCGTCATCGTCGTCGTCGTGGTGGAAGCGGTGGTGATTGTTGTCGTCGTCGTCGTCGTCGTCGTCGTCGTCGTCGTTGTCGTCGTCGTTTGTCGTCTGCGTGGTCGTATACGTGGTCGGCGTCGTCGTTCTTCCCCTCCCTCTTCGTCCTCCCTCTCCTCCCTCGTACCTGCCTTCCTTTTCCTCCTTCTCCGTTCTCCTCTTCCTCCTCCTCCTCCTCCTTCTCCCCGTCCTCTGCTTCCTCCTCCTCCCTCTCCCCCTCCACCTCTTCTCCTCCTCCTAGCCCCATCCATCATCCTCCTCCGCCTCCTTCTCCTCCTTCTCCTCCTTCTCCTCCTCTTCTCGTCCTCTTCCTCTTTCCCATTTGCCCCCTTAGCGCGCGGTGGGTGGGGGCGGGGTAGGGGGAGGAAGAGAACGTGGGAGGAGTAGGATGGAGGAACTCGTCCCGTTTTGCTTTCTCTCCCTCTCTCGCTCTTTTTGTCTGTCTGTCTGTCTGTCTGTCTGTCTGTCTGTCTGTCTGTTTCTGTCTGTCTCTGTCTCTCTGTCTCTGTGTCTGTCTGTCTGTCTGTCTGTCTGTCTGTCTGTCTGTCTGTCTTTCTGTCTGTCCGTCCACACTGCTGCAGACCTCGCGATGCGCGCCCGCGTGGAGGAATGGATCTCGTTACATCACAAACGCTAATGGCACATGGGCGAGACGAGGTGCATCACAGCCCCACCACAGCTGGGTCCGACTTGCCGCGATTTAGGGACCTGATATCCGCGACGCTCGGGAGGCGCGCGACAGACACGGCGGAAAGATGGAGCAACGACATCACAATCTTTTGCAGACGACTACCAGTTGGATCCGCTCTTGGCCACATCTGGCTCCCAACTGCCGTTTATGTGAGGAACCCGATATCGAGTTTCACCCGGTTATGAGTAGTCCGTAGCCGTTGTGGCTCAAAATGTTGAGTTGCACAGGGTAACAAGTGGATACCTCTAGTCCGATGCTAGTTCAAGGCTCTCGAGCCTGGCATCCTCTTTCGCCTTCACCGAAGGGACGGGCTCCCTCATTTCCCGGCGGCGAAGAGATGGCACCTCTTTCGGTCTTTGGTCTTGCTCACGGCGCTGGCTTCTTCTACCAGTAGTGGAAGTGGCCAGGAGCAGGTGGCAAACCCTGGGCGGCTGCCTGCGCGGTGTGTGGTTGCAAATTAAGCCTGCTCCACACTTTGCGTGGTACAAGGCCTGCTACTCGCCGCTGGCCAGGGTGGAAGTCGCCGAACCCAAGCCGCCTGGCGGCGTGTGGGCCTCCTCGCCTTTCGCCATGGTCGACCAATCCTCCTTCTCCCCCGCGCTCTTCGGCTACGGCAGAGTAAAAAGGAGGAAGAGGGGGTACGGCAAAGGGCTGGCTCAAGGAACCCGCGCGGGGTCTGGCAAAGGTGGTGCTGGCGGTCCTGGGCAGCCTTTCCCTCCTGTGCCTGTCTGGCAGTTTCTCACGGCCGCGGATGCGGCTCAGATGGTCACGCTTCGCGCGAAGGAGGGCAGGCCCGCCGCATATATCACCCATTACAAGCAGCTGGCCCACTCCGTGGCCAGGGCCGAGTCCCAGGCGGTGCCCAAAGCTGTGCCAGTGGAGGATCAGTTGGCCCAGGTGCAGTTGGCGCGCATCCAGCACGCCAGCAAGCTCCAGGCGGCCATCGCCAAGGTGGCCTTGCCGGAGAAGCAGCTCGAAGAGCAGCGGGCTGTGGTCAGCACGCGCCACTCCGAGTTTGGACGAGCACGATACAGATTACGAGGAGGTGGCCGCCAAGCTTGCTAACATGGCCAAGCGGGGAGGCCCCAGGGAGTCGGCCGCGCCGTCCATATCCCTGGACGCGCTGCTGGCGGGCTCTGTCGACGCCTTAGACATCGATTTCGGGGGCACTTTCGACGTGGATGACTCCGCGCTGCTGGTGGAGCAGGACGACATCAATGAGCTCAACGCCAGACGGGTTCGATTTGTCGTCGAGCTCCGATCCAAGGCTAAGGGACTGTTCCAGTCCGCAGCCGACACCGTAAATGACGACAGGAGGCCCACCGTGCACAGGTCACGCGCTTGTCGGACAAGCAGCGCAAGACCGACGACGGCCAGGCCGCTGCTGGTGCAGCTGACGCCGCTGCTGCTGGTGGGGCGCCTGCATCGGGGAGCGCAGGGGCATCGGGGTCTTTTGAGGGGTCCGGGGTCAACCCCAGGCCCGCGGCTCCAGTCGCCGACTCGGTGGCAGGGGAGGCGTTGCTCGCCAGTGTGCGGGCGGGCGCCGCTCGCATCGCCAAGGGGGCCGCTCTGGCCGCGGAGCAGCTCCCAGCCCCCCCTGCCGATCACATCTGATTGGTCGCCGTGGGGAGTGCCGTTTGAGTCGTGGCCACTCGGCAGGGGGGCTCTCTCTGGCTTTTCGGTCTCGGAGTCCCGTCATCATTTGACGCCCCCCCAGGCGGGCGGGGGGCGCCTGCGCCAGTGTTGCCTCGGCTGATATCAGCCAGGGGGCCGGTGAGTTTTCCAGGCTGTCCGCGGAGGGGGCGCTCCCGTCCAGCCCGGCCAATTTCCTTTCAGTGCCGCCTTGCCCTGCATGCGCGTTCCAGGCGGTTGGGGCGATCTTGTTTCAGGCGTGTTCTTCCGTGGAGTCCTGGATCACTACGTCGACGTCGCACGTTCTCTTGGCCCAGGAGCATCGTCTCGTTGCCGTTGACGAGATTGCGAAGGCAGGACAATGAGCACTGACCAGTGGGTGGGCAGCTCGGTTCGCTCCCGCGTTCAATCTCAGCGCTATCGCGCCGGTCCCTGGAGCGCCCCAAACCTTCTTCAAGTCGGTTCACATATGCGATTGCGAGGACCTTGCGGACAGGAACCTCAGCGGCTTCGCCGAGGTCGGAGCGCTGCGCGGCGAGTGCGGGGGCCCACGGGGGGTGATTTTGACGTGGCGCCAGATGTTATGGTAACCTCTTTTGTCCCTGGTTGGCAAAAGGCTGGCGCCATCTATGCGAGGGGGGGGGCGCGTGCGAGTGCGGGAGGGGCCAGGGCGCGTGACTTCTTCATTCTCTCGGCAGGCCCCGCGCGTTGCTTGCAGGCCGTGGAGCTCGTGCTCGGCGCGGACATGAGGACCCACGCCCCAGTCCACCTTCCCCTCCGCCCGCAGTTGGCTGAGCTCAGGGCCTTCACTTTCCTCGAGCCCCCCAAGCTGCCCGCAGAGCGCCCGATTGGTCTGCTGATCGCAGTGCTGCCTTGGCGTGTGTTAGTTTTGGCATGGATCTGATCTCCCGCAAGGCCGCTCGCGGTAAGGTGCAGCGCAGCCTGGGCGTTCTGTGCAGGATTTGTGCCGGCGCGGCCGAATGGGAATTATCGCAGGTCTTTCAGAAGGGCATATCTGTTTGGAGCACCAGGGGTGGGTGACCCCGCCTGGCCTGGACCTCAGCCCTCGGTCAGGACTCCAATGCCTCCTACAGGGGCCCTCAGCTGTTCTCGGCTAGGTGGCTCTCTAGGACTACCAGGTTCATCTTGGGGGCTATGGCCAACAGCAACGTCAGCGCGTTCAACCGATATCGTTCCCATCTTCAGGGTCCGCCTTCTCGCATCTTCCAGTCTTTGGGTGAGTTCCTGGGGCTTTGTCAGCACTGTCTGGAATTGGTATCTGGGATTGGGGACGTTCGCGGAGTTTCTGGAGGCCTTCTCGAATTTCAAGCTCTTCTCGAACCCATATTAGCAGAATGTGCTAGGTCTTCCTCGCAGCAGTCACTGAAGGCTTGGCTCAGTTGGCTCTTGGATGGAATCGACAGGGGCGGAAAGAACGCGCGCCGCTGGACCATGGAGTTGAAGCCGTGGGTTGCTCCGACTACCCTCTCTGCGGAGGGCGTGGTCCTTTCGGGCCCCTTCTCCCTGCCCCGGGCCGAGGGCGCGCGGTTTGGGAAGCCGTGGAATTTGAAGTCGCAGCCTCCCGAGGCCGAAGGGCTCCCTATCGAGTATTCGGAAGGGCTCAGGCCGCTTTGCGCTGATGATCAGATCGCTGTGAGTAAAGCCTATGCGGCAGGTGCTGCCTCTAGCGTGGATGGCCTCCACATGCGCCATTTCTTCCTTTCGCAGCCAGAGCTCCTCTCCGCTGTGTGCACCGTGTTCCGCGTGATGGGGTGCGCGGGGCTCATGCCCCACCAGGCCCCCAGGCCCGGGTCATCGTCGCCCTGTTCCTAGCGAAGCCCGCAGGAGTGTATCGGCTCATCGGCCTTTTCTCGTTTTTCCCAACCATCCTGTGGTGTTGGGTCCTCGTTTTGAAGAGACGGCGCCCCGCGTTCCTCACCTCCTCCTCCTCCTCTTCCCCCCCCTCCTTCCTCCCATCATCATCATCATCATCATCATCATCATCATCACCATCATCATCACCATCGTCATCATCACCACCGATTTCGGCACACCCCTCACACGTTTCGTGGCCCCATAGGGAGCTCCACCGAAGGCCCCAGTGGCAGGGTCCGCATGCCTCCCCACCACACATTTCGGCACACCCCTCACACGTTTCGTGGCCCCATAGGGAGCTCCACCGAAGGCCCCAGTGGCAGGGTCCGCATGCCTCCCCGCCACCCATTTCGGCACACCCCTCACACGTTTCGTGGCCCCATAGGGAGCTCCACCGAAGGCCCCAGTGGCAATGCCTCCCCACCACCCATTTCGGCACCCCTCACACGTTTCGTGGCCCCATAGGGAGCTCCACCGAAGGCCCCAGTGGCAGGGTCCGCATGCCTCCCCCACCCATTTCGG